AACTTGCAAGATAACGACGTATGAAATTTCAACTAACTAATTATGTATGTATGTAGTCTATAATAGTTTCTCATGACTAACTTTATTATTTTCAAAGCTGTTATTAGAATCAAAAAGGAACGTGGGCCCGATGGAATTGATTTGGACGTTCTCGTGCAAATTAATCCCAAATTCTTCTCCTAAAAATGCGTCAAATTTTGACTCCGAAGAATTTGTTGATAGTGGAACAGTACTATATACACATTTCATTCTTCCTCACTTGTTAGTAACATCTGCTTATAATCATCAGATAGAAATGTTACATAATTACATCAAATCAAAAGAAGAACGATTTAATGAGACTGTTCGTTTAATGTCTTTGATGCGATTGGAGACTTCGGGTAAATCTAACAATAATACTGGTATGTCAAAAATCACGTTAACCTTTGATCAAAAGAAAAATAAGTGATCTTGTATATTAATTATAACAACAAAATAATATTAAATAATACAAGCAAACGTTTCATCGTCTTTCGATCCGGAGGGGTCTTATCAAGAAATTGAGCAGGTACTTTTTTTACAAAATTTGTTGTCTTTTATTGCCTTTTATAAAATTTATATTTATTTTATATTTATATTTATGAATATCACTTTAGATTATCCAGGATTGCAATGTTTCAGAAAACGATACGACTCTGAATATTTGCAATGATCCTACATTTTCAAAACTGTTTAGAATTGCAACAGAACGCGTTATTCCCCAAAGTATATTAGTTAAAAAATGTTGGGTATTTCTTATATGTCTATGTGTTATTTCACTATATTAATGTGACAATTTATTTCATTATTAAAGACCAATTCCCACAAAATTCTGTTCTTTCTGAAACTTTGTCGTATACATCATCAGCCCCTTCACCTTCTGCTTTAGAAAATCTCCCAATGTCGCAACTTGCGACTATTAAACTACCAAGCCTTTCCGATACACAACTTACCAATTTATTTACCCAACATAAAGATCCTCAATTTCCAAGTTCGCTTGATGATCCCCTTTATGTTTCTCAAACAGAAGTAACTCATGACGCTGCTGCTGAAGTTGAAGGATTATCTGGATTTACTTCACATGCTGCGCGGTCGCGTGCAAATACCAATCCTGATGGGATGACACGTGGCATTGGCAAATCAAAAGTGGTGAGACTGCTTATTTACAAAATTATTTAAACAAATTATTCTATTAATTTTATACAATTTATTTCATATAATTTATCCCTATAACATAGAACAATGATAAGGTTCAACAAGAACGTGAACTTG